CTGGGCATTTTTTCGTTTTGCTATATTTTTTATGATTTTTCGACTGACACATAAAGGGGATGCAGTTATAAGTACTTGGATAATAATAATCTGGAAAGTTATGGCGCTTGAACAAAAGGAATGCATTTTTAGTGTATATTCTCAATAATAACTGACAGGCCAACGAGTCTATGGCTCAATTATGGAGCGTTAGCCTGCCTAAGGCCCGATGACTGAAGAGTACAAGTTCGAATACTAGAGCATGCGGACCTGGAGTTGGGCATGGCTAGCTGGTGATGGCTTATAAGGCAGAAATTGCCACCCTAGGCTCCCATATCTTTGTTGATAAGCTGTGGAAATCTGGGGGTTTTACGAAACCCCTAAAGAAATTTAAGCGTCCCACCGTAGTTTCGCATAAGAAGGGAGAGAATAAAATTTAAATGGGATGCTACTGTACAACAGTCGGTTATCCAGGAACTGAGTACATGTGCCAAACGCTGTGTGAACACATCGATGATGGATTTGGTCCGCTGTCTGCTAATTGTGGCCGTATGGGCTACCACACACTTCGAGGTGGGTTGCTACGACAGCAGCTGTTACCACCATGAACATGCACTTAACTAGTTGTCGGCGCTTTTATGCAACAGCAACATTCGATTAACACACGACAATGGAGGCGGAAATCAGTACGCATGCGGCCTGGAGGGAGCAACCACAGGCGACGGCATCAATGAATGCCTGGAGAATTGAACTGGTTGTTCTTTAAACGAACTGTGATCGAAAGACTGGTGAGGTCACATGAAGGTTCAATTCCCGACAATCGAACAGAGGGTCAACCACTCCCCAATAAGTTCGGAGCATAGTCAAAGTTTGTTGTTTGAAAACAGACACTTTTCTCGATTTAATGGGGAATGGTAGAACATGCACTTCAACCAACAGCGTGCTATCAGAAGAAACATATGGAACAGCCTGAGAAAAAGTTCTAAGGTAAGTAGAACACGACTGGACGTTTGAGTGTTCAAGGAAACCAGGGATATTTTCAGATATGCAAGTCTGAAGCAAACAACTATTATGTTACTGTTAAGTTTAGGTGGGTTAGAATTAAATTTAGGGCACCTGAATTTGCACCAACCTGTAAACTGGTGCCCTGTATTATTGACGGCGGCGATCTATGTATCCATGCCTTACCCATCTACTGGTGTAAAGAGTCAGCCGGCTCTTATAAGTGATGCCAACGCAAACGATAGGCGAAACTTTCGTCTATTTGCAATTATGACATTATAAGGCTGCAGCTCCTGGTCCATACTTCATTGTGCCTCGCTCCTCTACCTTTGCCCTCCTGTTAGACTCCATTTCTGTAGGCTAAGCGAAGACTACTGCTAAGTGCCATCCCGACAAGTGCCTGGGCTTGACGCCAAAACCAGCCGTCTTATCGACCCACGTCGAAACGGAGCCGTACTCGGTTCGGTCAGACTTAATAGGCAGTCGCCAAGATGACGAAGGTGCACATAGGTGCACTCACCTCATGCGTGACAGACATCTTGGACCCGCTGCACTTTAAAGGTCAGAGGATCTTAGATGCGGTTTGGCCAACAAAAGTTGCCATGGTAAAAATCGACACAGTCGCCCAGCCAGAAGACTGGACCTGCTCTAAGAAGGCCATTTGGGTTTCATATTTGTTCTGCTAGCAGATTACTAAGAAATGTGTTCAGATTAAGTGCTGCTTTAATTCTTCTAGGTCAATACGGACTAAATTCATTTAGTGAATTCTTACACTTAGGCGACGCTGGCAGGAAGCTGAGGTCTACGAAGACCAACACTGACCGTCGCGTTCTGTGTGTTCAAGATATGCCAAGGTAAATAGACTATTTAAAGTACTAAATAATAACACTGTTATTTCCGGCTGAACAAATTTGGAATTCTCCACATCCTTTCTCCAATGAAACTGCCGTCCGACCTAGAAATGATTGTTTACACTATTTCGAAGGCTTTCCCCCTCTTCCCTCGAACGCTGGCCACTCTCCCTCACTCAAATGCACATGACCGAATACTGTCCTCCACCGGTCCCGGCCCTTTGTTCCCATTTTCACACGGCGAACACATGGCGAGCCAGCTGTCCGTTCCCCCCTCTCCCTTCTTGACCCAGCTCCCGCGGCTACTCCAAGAACCACTCGTCGAGCCAACCCACCACCGCTGACTTCAAATGCTTGCAATCCACCCCCTGCCGGCACACCACCCCGTCCCCCTCCCCATTAAGCAATTGTTTCTGGTGTTGTCTAGAGTGGCTGCTTAAGAAATCCCGCCAATGCAAGCGAACATGCGAGTCCCAGGAATTAATTGAGCAGAAGACGACTCGATCGCTGGAAAAATACTTTTATTCGCCTGACGTTTCGAGATCAGTCGCGGATTTGTCATCAGAGATATAATCAGAGAGCAGTAGCAGATACGGGTAGCGTATGCGCAGGAGTTTGCAGTATTTATGGGATACAGTCATTACTGCAAATATACGAAGACAAGTAACTGCAATTGTCTTCTTGCGTGTTGGTAGTTTGTTGAACGGCATGCGAGCTCTGAACTGCTGAACTTTCATCACGCATGGTAGACTCGGGCGTGATGACTGTTCGGCCATCTGACCCTCCGGTGTTGGTTTAGGATGACGCGGTGGTCTGTCCGTTCTCCTGGTGGCGACTTGCTTTGGCCAAATTGAGTCCCAGCACTAAATATGGATTAAACAAATCCTGTTTGGACAGTCAGCTTACCGTAGCGGACATAGCAAGCTACCTAGAAAGACCCCCTTCCCACAGAGGTGATATAAGCTTGAACAGATGATTCATAACAGGCCCATTGTGTGAGAGCTGGCATAAAGCACCATTAAATTTGAAAGTTTGTTCCCCCTTGGAGCGAAGCAAACATGCTCCAGACCGACAACCGCAGACAACGCGGAGTCAGGTAGCGGGGCAGTTTTTGTTTTCGGTCTGCATCTTCAAGTGACACACGCCAAAGGCCATCCATAACCAGCCAGTTCTGACAGCTGACCCGGCAGTTGTCTCGGGTCGGACAGACGAAGATGGCACGCAAACCGGGGCCAGACGCCCACGCTAGGAGGCTGTTGTTTGTGCAGCGACCATGCGATGATGCACAGCCTTCCATGCCACAAAAAATCCAAATTCTAAACAAGGCTTTCCTCTCAAATCAGACCTTATCTTCAGAACCACCTTGTCTGTGTACTTCGACGATATAAACTACTATATGTTGAAGGGCACTTCATGATATCTCAT